ATAACCAGAGAGTAAGATAGAAATTGAAAGAATCCACCGATGACCTCCTGAAAGAGATCCCAAAAGGAAAACTCCCAGGAATATTATAGCCAAATGCCAGAGTTTCCAGGTGAAGGAGAAAATATTGCAAGCAGCCAGAAAGAAACAATTGAAGCACTGTGGAAACACAATCAGGATAACACAAGATTTAGCAGCTTCCACATTAAGGGATTGGAGGGCTTGGAATATGGTATTCCAGAGGTCAAAAGAGCTAGGATTAAAACCAAGAATCACCTACCCAGCAAAACTGAATGTAACCGGTGAGGGGAAAAAATTGGTATTCAATGATGTAGAGGAATTTAATGCATTCTTGAGAAGCCAGAGCTAAATAGAAAATTTGACTTTCAAATACAAGACTCAAGAGAAGCACGAAAAGGTAAACAGGAAAGAGAAATCATAAGGGACTTATTAAAGTTTAACTCTGTTACATTCCTACATGGAAAGTTGATATTTGTAACTCATGAGACCTCTGTCATTATTAGGATAGTTGGAAGGAATATATATAGACAGAGGGCACAGGGTGAGTTGAATATGAAAGGATGATATCTAAAAAAGAAAATTAAAGGGTGAGAGAAGAATGTACTGGGAGAAGGAGAAAGGGAGAGGTAGAATAGGGTCAATTATCTCACATAAAAGAGAGAAGAAAAAACTTTTACAGTGGAGGGGAAGTGGGGGGAGGTGAGAAGGAATGAGTGAATTGTACTCTCATCAGATTTGGCTTAAGGAAGGAATAATATACATACCCAATTGGGTATGGAAATCTATCTTACCCTACAGGAAAGTAGGGGGGAAAAGGATAAGAGAGAGAAGGATGATAGAAGGGAGGGCAGATTGGGGGAGTGATTAATCAGAAGTGAACACTTTTGAGGAGGGACAAGGACAAAGGAGAGAATAGAATAAATGGGGAACAGGATAGGCTGGAGGGAAATATAGTTAGTCTTTCACAACATGACTTATAGAAGTATTTTGCTTGACTGCACATGTATAGCCTATGTCAAATTGTTTGACCTCTCAATGAGGGTGGGTGGAAAGAGGAGGTAAGAGAATTTGGAACTCAAAGTTTTAGAAACAAATGTTAGAAATTGTTTCTGCATGCAACTGGGAAATAAGATACACAGGCAAAGGGGTATAGAAATGTATCCTACAGGGCAGCTAGGTGGTGCAGTGGATAGAGCACCTGTCCTGGATTCAGGAGGACCTGAGTTCAAATCCAGACTCAGACACATAACCCTAGCTGTGTGACCCTGGGCAAGTCACTTAACCCTCATTGCCCAACCAAAAAAACAAAACAAAACAACAAAAACAGAAATCTATCTTGCCCTGCAGTAAAATAGAAGGGGAAGGGGTAAGAGGGAGGTGGAATAGATGGGAGAACAACTGGGTGAAGGGGGAATCAGAATGCAGGCCATCATGGGATGAGGAAAGGGGAGGGATGGGGAGAAAATTTGGAACTCAAAATCTTGTGGAAGTGAACGTTGAAAACTAAAAATAAAGAAATTGGGGTAAAACAAAGGTCAAAGAAAACATGGTTTTGCTGCTGCTGGGAGTGGTTTGGATGATGACAAAGGTGACAGAATTACTCAATCTTCCTCGTGCTGTTTTCTCTACCAAGGAAAGGGATCTTTGGATTTGGGGAGAATGACATTTACAAAGTCCACGGGGAGCTGAAATCCATCATAAAGGATATGATGGTTACAGAAGATACATGTACTCCTTTTGAAAAAAGCAAACCTACTATTTTGAAAGCTTTTTCACATCCATTATAGTATTTGATTTCACAAACCTATGATGAAGGAAATAAAGTCATGCATGAATGCAGAATGTATCATATTTAGAGCTGGAAGGACCTGAAAATTCAGTCATAGGGTCATTAAGGATCCAATGGACAGGTGGAGGTGGGGTAGCGGGGAGTTGTCGTTGCAAAGAAGAAAGGCCTTCTGGACAAAAAAACAAAGTTCTGGGGTAGAAGGGCACAGGTGAGCACAGCTGCTGGTAGGACAGCATAGAGATGCCCAATAGAGCACACAGGACAAGACTGAGAAGTAGGGGGAGTCAGGGGGGCAGGGTGGAGCCAGCTATCTGACAGCCCTAATGTGAGGCAAAGGAGTCTAGTCTGGGCTTGGCAAGAGGTAATATGACAGGTTGGGGGCACCGAAATGAAGACAATGAGAGACGGGGAGAATTAGTGTGGCTAAAGAAGAGCAAGTAAGTTGGAAATGCAAGGAGAGCATTACACTGTAATTCATGGACTAATCTAATAGTAATTTATGGCTCCAGAAAAGCTCTAAGAATTGTCAGGTATTTTTCATCTGGGGCCCATGAACCTGCTTTTTGTTTGTGTTTTTTAAACAACTATATTGCAACATAAAAGGGCAGCTAAGTGGCTCAGAGGATATAGTGCCTGGCCTGGAATTAGGAAGACCAGAGTTCAAATCCAGCTTCAGACACTTACTAAGTGACCCTGGGCAAGTCACATAACCCTGTTTGCCTCAGTTTCTTCATCTGTAAAATGAGCTGGAGAAGGAAATGGTATGCCATTCCTGTATCTTTGCTAAGAAAACCCCAAATGGGGTCACAAAGAGTGGGATATGACTGAAATGAGTGAACAATAATATTTCAATAGAACTGTTTTCCTTTGCAGTCCTATGTATTTTATTATATACATTAAAAAAATTTCTTCTAGAAGGTTTCACTAGTTTGCCAAACTAATCATGGTACAAAAACATCTTCAGAATCTCTGAAGTAGATTTATACCTACAAAGTTCATTCAGTCTCTAGAGATTCCCAAGTTAACCCTTTTTTGTTCCCACACTCCCACCCAGATTCTCCCTAGGAATATCAGTATTTCGTTCACTTCTATATCTCCACACCAAAAGGACTCAGTATAACAAAACATCAGATAAGAGGACAGGCTTTTCTGAGCTAGAAAAAAAAAATTCAAAGACCCACATCCATAAGCAGTCAGACAACTCTCCTTTTGTGTGAGTCTTTTCCCCATGGGGAACTATACAGATTAGCCTCTAGACTTTCAGTACTCCTCTCAGTGGAATCTCTCCCATTTTACATTCTAGGAAACTGAGGCTCATAGCAGTCAGTGAGTGCCTTACCTGCAGTCTCACAGCTAGAAAGTGTCACAGGGAGGACTTGAACCATACATATATCCTTCAAACAATAACATCAAAACAAACAAACAAACAAAAATCCTGTTTCTTCATCTGTTAAAGTGTAGGTGTGCATGTCTTGAGGTGGGTGGAGCAGGGCAATTCAACATAACCTCAAAGAGAGAGAGCTGTTTCTGAGTCAGAAAGTCCTGCCTCTCATACATCCTGGCTGTGCAAAGTCACCAGCTTCACTTTCTCCTCTGGAGCCATCTGGGTCCGGTGGCCAGGTGTGGATCTGGACAACTGGTGACACACAGAGTATCACACCCTTAACTGTGGGTGTTCTGCCCAAAGAGAATGTAAATTTTAATCTCTGAAGCTTTTTTGTTTTTGTTTTTTTCTCTTAAAGACCAGCCTTAACCTGAAATCACCCTGGCTTTCCTAGATTGGCCAACAACAGGTCCCAGGCCAAGTCCTACTTGGTCACTGTTTGAACCCTGATTGGCTCAGAATGAACATAAGTAACAACTGTTTCTGTTTGGGCTGGAAACCCTCCCTCCTAGATTTATTTATTTATTTAATTATTTGCTTGCCTGCTTACTTATTTATTTGATTGGCTTTTTGTTTTTATTTATTTGTTTGTTTCTTTGTTTGTATGTATGTTTATTTATTTATTTTTGGTGAGGCAATTGGGATTCGATGACTTGCCCAGAGTCACACAGCTAGTGAGTGTTGTGTCTGAGGCTGGATTTGAACTTCGGTCCTCCTGACTCCAGGGCCAGTGCTCTATCCACTGTGCTACCTAGCTGCTCTGAAGACAAACTTTTATGCCTCATTTCTTATTAAGCTTTAATCACCAAATGGACTTGCCTGGGTCAAGCTGAGTGAAACCTTTTAAAGACCTTGACTTTAAAGACTAATTGCCTCACCAAACAAACAAACAAAAAAAGACCCTGGCTTGAAAAGGCTGCAAGGTCTCCCACTACATCCTGGGCCATCTCCAGTTGTCCTGATCTACATCTGGTCACTGGACCCAGATGGCTTAGAAGACAGAGTGAGGCTGGTGACTCTGTACAGCCTTCCCTCACTTATATCCAATTCACTTGCAGGTCATGGCATCACCTCCTTGATGTGGTCCTCTTCCAGAATGGAGGACAAACAGCAAACAAGCAAAATCCTGGCTATTTATTCCTAGTCGAGCCCCTTCTGAGAAGGTTGCCTCCAACCCAACTCTAAGCAACTCTCCAAGCCCAGAGGTTGGAGACCAAGCACATATCCACTTTGATAGGGGTAATTCCTCACAGGGAGTTCAGATCCAATAAGAAAAAAAGGAAAGAAAAAGGAAAGAAAACATTTGGTAAGTGCCCACTCTGTGCCAGGCTTAGTAATGGGCACAGATCACACAAAGACTGCCCAAGGAGCTGCCATTTTATTGGAAAGAAAGCAACAAGAACACAGGAAAACAAATACAGAATTTGTGGAAATTGATTTTGGGGTGAGAGGAGCACTAACCTTCAGGGAAGGCCCCCCGGGACTGAGCTGAGCCCTGGAGGGCATTAGGAATTCTAAAAGGGGGTGATAAGGAAGCAGAGTCTGCAGGGTACTCAAAATGGGTAGGAACTGAAAATAAGCTATTGCATTGTAGTGGGGGGAGGATAATGGGACATCCTGGAAACTTGTGAAGATTTTTCAAGGCGAAGTTCAAGTAGTCCAACCCCATCACCAGTCAAGCTCACCCGGCAAGTTCTTGGCATTCTCCATACCCTGAGCCCTCAGACAGTGCATTTCCACCCTCCCCAAATGGAACCAGATCACATAGTAAGAGGTCTGTGGAAGGAGGAGTAGGCAGAAATTACTTACCTTCATTGGTTCAGGGACCTTTTCCCCCATTACTATGAATTGATCTGAGGAGACTTCCCCAGTCTCACACAGAAATGGCAGACCCCTCCAACTCAGTCCACTTCACCTTGTCCCTCTTGTTCTCTGGTCTCCCTGAGGCTTAGGACTCCCATCTGCACACAAATCTCTGAGGAATGAGAAAAAATTCCTGGTAGCCTTCCTTTCCTGGATGTTGGCTTTGGCCATGACCAGGGATGTCCCCATTGGGGATCACCAGCTCAAAGCATCTATAGCTGAGAGGGATCTTACACACAGATCACTAAGTCCAACCCTCTCATTCTACAGATGAGGAAGCCAAAGCCCCAAGATAGGCAGGGACTTATCCCTGCTAATAAATCTCAGGGCTGAAGGTCCAGAGGAAATGACACATTGTATATTTCCTACTGTATCCTCAGCATCGGGTATAGTGCCTGACACAGTCAGTGCTTAATAAATACTTGTTAACTGCCTATGGATGAAACCAGAATAGGACAGGATGGGACTGGCCTTGTGATTTCCTTGGAATTGAGAAGTCCCAAATGAGGAAGTATCTAATAATGCATATGTTTGCCTTCTTAACAATTTATAATCTTGGAGAGTCACCTGGGACATTGGGAAGTTTAATGACTTACCATCACCTTGTTATTCCTGACTCAGTTCCAACATGCCATGCCGTACTGCCTCTCACTGCAGTTTGAATTATTCCCATTTTACAGATGGGGAAACTGAGGCCCACAAAGGTCCAGTGACTTGCCCAAGGTCACACAGATAGTCTGTGGCAGAGGCAAAACCCAGCTCTTCCTGAGCACAAGGCCAGCTCTCTATGTACTCTGCCACACTGACTTTCAGACAAAAAAAAATTATAGCTGACATTTTTTTAGCACTTTAACTTAGCTTGGGAAGTTTTTAAAAAATATGTTACTTCATGGAATCCTCAGGACCACCAAATGAAGTAGATTTTAATGTTTAATCCAAATTACAGATGAGGAGACTGAGGCATAGAGAGGTTAAATAACTTACCCAACGTTACATAGCTAGTAAATGTCCCGTATTTCCCTGATTCCAAATCTAGCCTTCTCTACACTGTCATACTTTCTTAGAGTCAGAGACCTAAATTCAACTCTGACCTCTGACATTAACTAGCTGTGTGATCATAGGTCCACTACCTGCCTCTTCAACTCATTGGAGCCTCAGTTTCTTCAACAGTAAAATGGGGGTCATAAATGGTAGATTCAGATCTATAAGGGACCTTAGAAGCCCTTCTATAAAATAAGTGGGTAGGGACTCTTTCATCTCGTAATCTATGATCCTCAGAAAGCAGCCAGTCTGTCTGGCCACATCAGACCTCCAGAAGATTCAAGGATGAGACTAGGAAGGACTTTCCCAGGCTCCTGCTGGTGCCCACCTTGCCAGAGAAAGCTAGGAGTAATTTCCTCTTAGATCTCCTTAAAAGCAAGAAGGGCCATACAGCTGACTTTTCCAGACGTCTAATGTTCTATTGGATTGTTGAGGGCAGGCTCCTCCAGGCCCCCATTCCTGCCCATTTTCATAGTATGAGGTGTGACTCTTCCATGAATGGATTCCCTCTCACTAATCCTTCTCTACTCCACTCTGCCAAGGATACTAAAGACCTGTTTTGTTCTCTTCTACTCCTTCCCTTCCAAATCCTTCAACTGCTTGGTACAACCATCTGCTCCAATGCCATGTTCTCTTCCTGTCCAGTCCCCACTGGGGTGGGTGGAAGGGGGTGGTGGTGGTGGCGGCAGGACTTTAACATTCCATCCTCTGTTACCCTTCTGGCTTTGAAGTTGGCATGGCACATACCATCCTTAAGGGACTCACTCTCCATTCTCAAAGACTTAACCAGGGAGTCTGTTGGGGTGGGGTGGGGTGGGGAAAGCTATGCATACTGTTGAGAGCTAAAAACTAGTTCTCTTTCTAAAGTATTTCCAGGTTCATGAAGCACTGTTCCTCTTGGCAATCCTGTGTGGTAGGTTAAGGATGTTGACTCTTTTTGTAAAAGGCTCTGCATACATAACATAGTGCAAAGAGTGTTGGAGCCAGGAGAATTAGGGTTCAATTTAGTTTGACAGCCTAATGGGTGCTTAATAAATAAATGTATGTTGATTGATAGGCACTGTGCTAGGCATGGGAATAGTGAGACAAAAAAAGTCCCTGTCCTCAGGGAGCTTACCTACTAAGGAGATAACAATAGATTATGGCTCTTCCCTCCTTTTATAGAACATAGCTTAGTAGATTTACAGCTGGAAGGGACCCCTCAGGAGCCATCCAGTCCAATCCCTTCCTTTTAGAAATGAGGTGGACTGAGGTCCAGCAAAGCGATGTCAGTCACACGCCCAAAATCACATAGATGGAAGAAGCAGAGCCAGAATACCCCTGCTCCAGTAGAATGTGAGCCCCTGAGAGCAAGAACTGTCACTTTTGTGTTTGTGTAATGAGAGCTATCCCATGAAATACAAAGAAGACTTCTTGTTTCTTCCTGTTTCTGGTCACGTGGTGACTCTGGTCTAAAGAATGTGGGTGCTTGGAAATGGGAAAGGAATCCTTTCTTTAGCCTGTCAACTGGAGGTGCCAATCACTCAGTAAAACTTGAAAAAAGAAGAGACAGCTTCTTGCTCAATTTTTTTTTTGATGTACCCTAAAGGTAGTAAGACTTTCCACGGAAGAGATGGGAAGGTCTGGCACATCTCCACACTGGCACCATAGTGACCTATGGCTAAAAGCAAGGGAAATTCAACAAGTGAGCCCTGTGCCTGGGCTCCCAGGGTCCCTTTTTGCTTTGTCTCTCCTTTCCTGGGAAGATGACTATTAGTCTCAAGCTAGCTATGTCCAGGTTTGGAGACAACCTTATGAGTTTTAGCAATCTGGAGATATAGGGCTATAAGTTAGGGATGCCTTTTAGCCAGGGGAATGTCTTCATCAGAGAAGATTACCACCAGGAGCGTGATGACCAGAAATTGTTTAGAAAGCAAAAAACATGTGGCCATACGTGTTCCATGGTCCCACAATTTGCTTTATGTTCTGATAGGGTTAGAGTATCATCCACCTTATGAATTATTTATGCCCATGCATGCTAATGAATTTTTTGTGGCCTTTAGCATTGCTTTTGTGGGTGTGTGTGTGTAAATACCTGTCCCACACCTGATTTAGTTGTACAGTGAGTACTATTCCAGTCCTTCCCATCTTTTGGAGACAGACATGAGCTAAAACCCAAGCTTGAATTTGTTAGTGAAGGGTCCACAGGTGGGTGGGGGGTTTATGAGCCAGTGTGAGAAAACAGAGCCTGGTGTCTCTTCTCAGGAGATTCAAGGCTGAATCTACCTCTTGAGGGAGCCTACGTGCATTCCAAGCAGAGGTGCTGCTTCGGTAGAAAAGCAGTGGTCAAAATGCCCCACCCCGCTGTGCCAATCAGTTAGATAATCACATAGCACAATGATTGGCACACGTACAGTTATGTGTGTGTCTTCGTTGGTAAAGTCCTATCAACACAGGTAGGCATCTTTACCAAAGCCATCTCATTTGTGTTTCTGTACCCCCAGCATTGAGTACCATGCTTGGCATCTAGTAATTACTTAGTAAATGCTTCCTGGATTGGATTAGATATTTGAATCTTCATAGGCACCATTTTTTAATGTGGGTTGGGATCCAGATGTGCCAGCCCCCCAGGTCCTGATGGGAGTTACTCAGTGCTGACATCTCCCAACTTCCCCTGAAACCACCACAGAATAACTGAAAATGGTAAAATGAGTTTTTATGGATTGAGTCTCCCTCCAGACTTCACCCAAAGCTGGCTGATGCTCATCATTTTGGGCCCTTTTGAGTTACAGAGCTCAGCTGGCCTTCTACTTTAAGTAGAATGAGAATTCTTTTTCCTTCTCAAGTGGCTTTTGAGATCACTTAGGAACTTAGGAGGTGGTAAATACTCATTCTGATTTCTGCAACTACTATCCCCTCAGGGTCAACGGATAAGAAAAAACAAACTTGGAAAAACCAGTTCCTAGTCTCTTCAAGCTCTGTCTGCCTCCTTGAGCCACTAGAGAGCAAAAGTCAGATTCACATAATATCTGTGAGAGAAAACTGACCTATAACTCCATCTGGGTAGGGAATTCCCACTAGGTAAACCTTCTCCACTAATGCAGATCGGTATCTGCCCTGGCACTTCTAGCCTTAGGGCTTGGGTCTCTTAGAAGTTACATGACTTATCCAAGGTCACACAGCCAGCAGGTACCTTTTTCCTCAATTGTAAAATCAGGGGGTTTGGACTAGATGACCTCTAAAGTTCCCCTAAGGGTCCTTTAAAAGCTCTAAATCCAGAGATATTTTATAGGCACAGAACAAGGAACTTGGGTCTTTCTGACTGAGGTCACTCCAATACCTTCCTGCCTAGAGGAGTCAGAAGACATGTTCTACACCTTTTACTAAACAATTAGAGATGGAAGAAAAGGGCCTTGGAGGTCACCCAGACCAGCCTTCTCAGTTGAGGAAACTGAAGCTCAGGTGTATAAAGTGAGTTACCGGTAAAACAGCACTTTATTGACTCTCAGAGGTTCAAATTCCATCTTTACCATAAACTAACTGTGTTAACTTGGACAAATCTCTTTACCTCTCTGGGCCTCAGCTTCCTCTTCTGTAAAATGACATTGGTTAGATGACTTCCAATACCCTTCTTAGCTCTAACTCTGATGAAAGATCACACAGCAAATGATGTCAAAGCATAGGTCTTCTGACTTTCCTGTGCTTTTCCAAGTAGACCACACCTTTGAGATGTGGCCTAAGACAGATATAGCTGCTCTATATCCCATCCAGGAAATCTGAATCCCCCTGTCTCACCTACATTGTGCCCAGCTGGTTCAGGTTTCACCACCTAATTAACAGGTACACGTCCCTGACCCAAATGTGGGCTCATATCTACATTCAGAAATCCCCTCAAGAGCATCCATCCTCCCCATGGATGTCTTCAGTGTTGGGAAACTCACTATTTTCTGAGATAGCTCACTCTACCTGGAGAGAAGGGCTCCTCTCTTCTCCTCTCCTTTCTCTCTCTCTCCAAGTATAGAGGGAGGAGAAATCCAGAGAGTGGTGGGAGGTTTAAGCAGTCAGACAAGTCCTCAATGGGTTGAAGGAATCAAATCCGGCCCCCCTGCAGGGTGAGTGGCCACCCCTGCCTGTCTCACCTGTATAATAACTTCTCTCATACCTTTGCACCTGCAAAGTCTTCAAAATCCCTGGGGTCTCTGCTGTAGCCCCAGTAAGCATGCGGGGCTAATGGTAAGAAGTATGGCTGGTTACTAGGCAGCAGCCCTCCTGAGTTGTGGTCAGTGGTTGCCACGGAGACCACAATGCCCAGGGCTGTTACCTTCACTGGATGGCTGACCCTCCTTGACCCCCACCCAGAGCGATGGAGAGGAAAGGGACAGGATATGGTGGTCCCATGAGGGGAGCTGCAGTGGAAGAATGGTCTGGGGGGAGGAGTCTGAGATGAGCCAGTCTGAGTGTGTATCACTGAGGCAGTGACAGGACAGCTTTCTGGGGCTAGCAAGAGAGTCAGGATGTAAAAGCATAAGGACCTTGGGATTCAAACCTCATGTTTTCTATCCCCAAATCCAGTCATCTTCCATAGATCCAGAATGGGAAGAAACCTTGGAAGCCCTCTAGGCCTACTCCATCTTTTATTTTACAGATGAGGAAACTGAGGCAGGGAGGAGAGATGTGATTTGACCCAAGGTCACACAGTAAGTAGTAAGTGTCAAGGACAGCATTTGAGCTTAGGTCCTTGGACTCCAAATGCCATGATTTTGAACATGGACAAGCCATTGGCCAAACTCAAGTGCTCATTGGATAGCTTACATAGGCATACCAGGGGAAGTGGGAACTTGGACCTCTAATCCCTTTATTTAACAGGTGAGCAAAGTTCATCCTTGACAGGGGACATGACTTGTCTAGGGCCACACAAGTCCTTTCCATCTGAGCTTCAGCATCCAGATTGGACTGACAGGCCTCTCAGCTCCCTTCTAATGCTCATGAGGAGGAAAGTACATACCTGGTGGGATGAGGAGTTGCACTGCGACCTGAGTGAAGCCACCTGCACCATATGCTTTATACCTCCACTTCCCTCCCATCTCTCAAACACCATTCTTGAGATGAAGGGATGACTGGACATCCTTGGGACTTGGGTTCAAATTCTGACTCAATACAAACTGTGTGACCCTGGGCAAGTCACTTCACTCCAAATGTTCCTGGGTAACTCTAAATCAGGCTTTCTTAATGTGGGGTGCCCTCTGGGGATTCATGAGCTTAGGTAGAGAAAAATGCATCTTTATTTCAATGTAATAAATGTCCTTGGCAATCCTATAAATTTGATTTTCTGCCTTTAACAAGATAATTTGAGAAGGTGTCCATAGGCTTCACTGGACCCACTGCCCAGAGTCTAGGACACACAGAATGCTAAGAAACCCTGCCCTAAGGATATCTTATATACCAGCGAAGTTACTCCCTTCCTCATTGTTAGAGGGAATTCTCTATATCAGTGAAATCATAGGTCCAGACCCTAGCAGTAGTGTGAATCACAATGACTGTGCCAATGACGGCATCTGGGTTATATCAAGTGAACTCCTAATCCCAGCAATTCAGAAATGAAAGGCACCCTAGAGGCCTTTTTGAACATCAACTACCTATGCAGTAATCCCCTTACCTGTGTTTGAAGACTTCCAATGAAGTCTTCTACCCCTAAGGCAGCCTATTCCCTACCCCTCTGCCTTCCTTCCCCCCTCCTCCCCTCCGCCCCAGATAGCTCTGCCTGAGTGTTGGAAATCTTTCCCATAAAATTTTAAGACCTACTTCCCTCCCTGGTAACCAACACCTAGTGCTCTGGATTCTGTTTTCTGGAGCAAAGTTAAACAAAACTAAGTGATCTTGAATAACAGTCTTTCAGATAACCTGTAGGCTGAACACTTCTATCAGGCAAGAACTCCTAGTTCTTTCTGTTGGTTTCAGTTCAAGTGTCTCAAGTAATATACCCATTTTACAGAGAAGGAAGCAGTCTGAATGATTAAGTGACTCGCCCATGTTCACATAGGTAGTACATATTGGTGGTCAGATTTGAACCCATAAACACCCTTTCCATGACCACATGATTTCCCTAATAGCTCAGTCCGGGAAGAGATTCTCAAACAGTCTCTCAGAAAGGGAAGAGTTTATTCCAGAGCTGACAAGGGAGAATGAAGGAAATTTTTACATAGCTACCCAGAAACTCTTCAATCCCTTTCCAAAAACAGGTAAGGAAAAAAAAAGTATAAGTCAGATATCATTTCAGAGATGATTGTAGGTAAGGCAAAGATGGGCCCCTAGATCCATGATGGCCCAAGTAGTTGATCTAGGAGCAGGAAGAGGGCAAGGAAAGGGTCAAGTCTCATCCTTTCCTTGTTCCTACTCAGGCTTTCCCTCCCTTCCATTGGGAGACCCGGAGCTTGGGGGGTGCCCGGCGGAACCACTCAGACCAAGAGCCATCATACACAGCTACGTCAGGCTTGCCACAGATGTAGGCAGCGAGGGCGATGTGGCAAGCAGTGACCCCCTTACGGCAGGTGGCAATGAGCGGCTTGGAGAGGTCCACTTTCTTCTCCTTGAACATAGCCCGGATCTCCTCAGGACTCTTCTCAAAGCCTTCTGCTGTCAGGAATTCCGTGAAAGGCATGTTCAGGGAACCAGGAATGTGGCCAGGTTCCAGGTCTGAGCCAGTCCCAGGAAGAGATGGAGGAGACAGGAAAATGGAGGAAAGAGTTAGAGGTGATGGATGGGACTACAGCAACCAATCAATGAACATTTATTAAGCACCTATTAGCAGAGACAGTGTGGCATAATGGATAGAAGCTAGACTTGGGAGGCAGGAAGGCCAGGGTGCATAGCCTGCCTCTAACACTTACCAGCAGTGGACAAGTCATTTGAACTCTTTGGGGCCCATTTTCCTCATCTATAAACTAAAGAGGTCAGACTCGAGTGACCTCTAAAGTCCATTTCAACTTAAATCCATGACCCTATGATCCCATTTGTCAGAAATTGTACCAGTCATAAGGGGATATAAAAATGAAAGAGACCCTTTCCTCAGGGAGCTTAACACACACATATAGTAACATAAAAACCCAACGACCAAAAACATACAAAAGAATTATCAGGTAAATTTTGGTGGGGAGAAGGTACTAGTAGCCTTGGGGTGGTGGTTGTGGGAACAAAAGACTATTTCCATAGGAATCCTCGAGAAAAAGGGGCACAGACATTCCAAGAATTCAAGTCAGTCAGTGCAAAGGTATGGGAGGTGGGAGGAGTGTCTTGTGTGAGGAACAGAAAGAAAGCCAGTTTTGAATGAAAGGGAAAGAGGACAAAAGAATTATAGTTAGAAGGGACTTTGAGGACTACTTAATGCAGTCTCTTCATTTTACACATGGGAATACTGAGGTTCAGAAAAGTTAAGTGACTTGCCCACAGGACATCAGTAGCAGAGTCTCAGTTTGAACCCAGGTCCTCAGACTCCAAATCTAGATCTCTAGAATAACACTGATTTCCAGATTAAGAACCAATAAGCAGTCCTGCATTAAGCATATTCTCTGTGCCAGGCATCATGTAAGACACTGGGCTACTCTGACAAAAAAGACACCATTCTTGCCTTCATGGATCTTACATTCTATAGGAGGAGAGAACCCATCTACATATAAGTAGATACAACATAAGAAGCCAGGTAGGGGATGGGTCAATGTACCTGTTTCCAGGTTGCAGCCCTGTCCCCACCAGGTAGAATGCAAGCTCCTCAAGGACAGATGTTCCTTCTCTCTCTTTCTCTCTTTCTGTCTCTCTCTCTCTCTCTCTCTCTCTCTCCTTTTTAAATTTGGAAGCAAATCAGGTTAAGTAATTTGCCCAAGGTCACATTTAGTAATTGTCTTAACTCAGGTCCTCCTCACCCAGAGCCTGTGCTCTAATCCACTGCAACCTCCTAGCAGCCCCTGATTTCTTCTTTGTAAGGCCAGTGCTTTATGTATAGTAGCATTTAATGTTTGTGTGATTGGATTAGAGCAAAGGTTCTTTAGTAGCAAAAGCACTAGGCATGGAGAAAGAAGACCTGGGTTTAAGTCTTACTACTTATTAGTTCCTCCCACTACTTATGTGACCATGAGCAAGTCATTTCCCTATACTCAGCCTTAGTTACTTCCTTGAGACAAATGAAAAGATAGGTAGATAGATAAATGAATGAATGATAGGTAGATGAATAAACAAACACACAAGTAAAATAAAAAGTGGGGATTGGATACAATCAGCATCATGGGTTCTCAGAGGCCATCTAGACCAAGCTATTGTGGAATAGAATGAAATTCCCTCTATAAAATAAGTGTCTAGGGGCAGCTAGGTGGTACAGTGGATAGAGCACCGGCCCTGAAGTCAGGAGTACCTGAATTCAAAGCCGACTTCAGACACTTGACACTTACTAGCTGTGTGACTCTGGGCAAGTCACTTAATCCCATTGCCTAGCAAAAAAAAAAAATGACTGACCATTTGAAAACCCCTAGTGATGGGGGATTTCCACTTCCCAAAGTAGGTCATTCCACTTGGAGATAGCTCTAATTAGAAGTCTCCTTTTACTGAGCAAAAAAGCATTCCTTTCTCCAGCTCCCAAGCATGGCCCCCAGTTCTGCCCTCTGTAGAACAGATCTAACTCTCTCCCTTAAGAAAGTCCTTCAAAAGTGAGAGAGCAAAGACGAAGGACAACATCCTGCTTAGCAACTTTGAGCTCACAGGCATCCCCCTGTGCCAGGGGTGTTCCTCAGATTCAACTCATATTTGACATTGATGCAAATGACATCCTAAACATTTCTGCTCATAAGAGCACTGGCAGGGAGAAGACCACCACCACCAATGACAAAGGTCATCTGAGCAAAGAAGACATTGAGTGTATGGTCCAGGAGGCTGAGAAATACAAGGCTGAAGATGAGAAGCAGGGAGCCGTCTTCTAAGAATTTTCTGGAATCTCATGCTTTCAACATGAAGGCTACCATAGAAAGTCAGAAACTCTGAAGCAGAAAGAACTAGAGGTCTGCTGTCCCATCATTACTGAGTTCCCATCGAGTGCAGCAGCCCTATTTGGAGGTGCTTCTTTTGGACTCACGGTTGAAGGGGTAAACTAAAGAACAGAAGAAAGAGCATTCCACCCACGGAGCTCTCCAGCAATTGAAGGACTCTAATTTGCAGCCAAGACAGTAGCCATTTAAAAGCAACTTTTGAGCTACTGTGTAAACCTGGGTATTTTGAATACTTGAAAGTGTGCACAGGGAGAGAAGTGGATAATATAGTGCACTGGACAAATGCAACTCTTGTCCTGGAGAACTAAATCTATTTAAAATTGGCACCATTTAAAAAAAAAGGCCCTTTAAATACTTAGAATCCACAGTCTAGGGCTGGAAGGGACCTTAATGGCCGTCTACTCTAGCCCCATCATTTTACAAAGGGGGAAATTGAGGACCAGAGAAGAAGAGACTTCCCCAAATTCCTATGTATGGTTAGTGGCAAAGGTAGGATTTGAACCCACATCCTCTGACAATGGAGTCCATTCCTCCATATCTGATGTACCACAGGGTTTTTGAAGCCAGCTTTCATATCCCCTGTCAACTTTCTGTTCTCTAGGCTAAACATTCTTATTAATGCCCTTCCTAAAATGTGGCACGCTAACCTAGCTTGCCCTGAATTCTGTAAGGATTGCTCAATATTACCCAGGATTCTTTCTTTTTTTGGGGGGGGAGCACTAGGCAATGGGGTTAAATGACTTGCCCAGGGTCACACAGCTAGTAAGTGTTATGTGTCTGAGGCTGGATTTGAACTCAGGTCCTCCTGAATCCAGGGCCGGTGCTCTATCCACTGTGCCACCTAGCTGCCCCCCCGGATTCTTTATTCTGTATGGCTACTTCATACCAGTTGATCTAAAAGGAGGATTGAGGCTGTGCCCCTGAACTGATCCAGAATGTTCCCTATGAAGTGCAGTTGCACCTTTAGCATTCCCTAATGCATTCCTTCCATGCAAATTTCATGCACTTAGCGCATTAGTGCCAATATCCTTTTCTGCCTTGGCCAGATTCAAGAAATGGGGATGTCATACATAGCTTAGCACAGACTTTCCAGAGGAGTAGAGCTGACCCATTTTTATAGGGACACTCCCTGAGACCACCAGTCACAGAAACTCAGAAGCGTTTGCTCCTGGCCTGTCATTCTCTCCCTCTGCTTATACCTCTAGCATCTTCATGTGTACAGATGATCTGAGGATGTAGGTATTCATGAGATTTTTCCCATATATATGTTTAATAAAAATATTGAAATATAAAGAAAAATAAAATGTGACACCAAAAGCTGAATGCAAAAGTCCAGGTGTGGTTTGACCAGCAGGAGAGGGAAGAGGACCGCTCCACCGCCTCTCCTGTTCTGGGTACCATGTCTCCCTCTTCCATGTGGTGAAGATTATATGAGATTTTTGTGGCTTATCATCTCCCACTGTTGTCTCAGGCATTCCCTATGATCCATTAAAGAGACACCTTTATGAACTGGGCTATAAAAGCTGCCTGTTAAAATGCCAACTACCACAAAAAAGGCATGTATCCATAATATTTAACAGTCACCTACCCCCTTCTTCCTGTCCCAAGGTGCCAACTAACTGAGAAGTCATAGGGGCCAATTAAACAACAAGTCTCTGTGCAGGGCACTGGGGATATGGCCAGGGAATGAACCTATGATTCTGTTGGTAAAGAGAACTCCATGCTTTGCAAGGATGTTGAGGGAAGAGCTTTGGGAACCTTAAAGCACTACAGAAAGGGAAGCTGACATCATGTAGACTTGTTGATCTAGTTATCCAGGGGCAGGTAAGTGGCACAGCGGATAGATCGCCAAACCTAGCGTCAGGGAGACCTGAGTTCAAATCTGGCCTCAGACACTTGCTAGCTGTATGACCCTGGGCAAATCACTTAACCTGTTTGCCTCAGTTTCCTCATCTTTAAAATGGGGATCACAATAGCACCTACCTCCCAGGATTATGGTGAGGAGCAAATGAGAAGAATTATAAAGCCCTTAGCACGGTGCCTGGTACGTAGTTCAGCTCTATGTAAATGTTAACTGTTATTTCAGGTATCATAACTATTGATGTGGCTATTCCTATAAATAGCTGCCTAGCTGACCAGCATAAAAGAGAGAGACTGGATTTGTGACTTCATTGGTAGAGGGAACTCCCAGAAACTCCTTCCACCAATATAGGTTGGTACCTAACCTTAGAGAGTTCCCTAGAGGTGTCAAACAACACTCCCTGGCACCTCCAGAACCAGCTTAAAGTGCATTTGGGAAGCATTTAACAAAATAAAAACCACAAGGAAATGTAGATAAGAGGTGATCTTCTCTGTCAACTTGTGGCCTATAGGGATCCTTATGTACCAGGTAGTTGCCCCATTTCTATTGGAGTTTGACCCCACTGGCTCAGCACAGAAAGGATATGACTTGCCCAGAGACACTCAGCCAGTATGGGCCAGAGGCAAGATTTGAACCCAGATCTTCCTGGCTTTGAGGCCAGCTCCCTACCCACTACCCTATCCTGCTTCTCCAGCCTAAGGTCATCACAAATAATAAATCCATTGACTTAGAAACACCCACCATATATATATATAGATAGATAGATAGATAGATAGATAGATAGATAGATAGATAGATAGATC